CACGCCATTTCAGGAAATTGCCCGTGAACAGTAAATTTTTACCCGCGGTTTTATAATACAGCCTGGACAACGATAAATTTTACCCGCGGTTTTCGAAAATCGCACTTGAATAGCCTATTTTTACCCGCGGTTTTCGGAAAAATCTGCCCAGTATTCCATACCGGCCTACACCCAAGATTTAAGCCAATATCTTATGTATGATGATGCTGGTATCCATGATACTTTTCTGGTTTACTTATAGGACTTGAAATTGAACTTGGAGGAGAATCTAAAAAACTTTCTGCTTTGCCACTATGCTTTAAAGTTTAAGATTTTGAACATAACATCTGATAATCCGCTTTTGAATTATACCAGGCATAAAGCGTCGCCGCCTCAATCTCAAACCAATTCTCAGCAAGCTGACACATTTTCAATAAAGTAGCTTGGCACAACACATCTGTTGGAAATGTTGCTAAAAAGGACAAATAACAGATTAACTACAAACCTTACTTTTTGCGAAATGCAAAAGCCAGAAAGCGGTAGTAATGTATGTGCGTCTGTTTCTGTTAAATTCTGTATAGTTTTATGTCCATTACTGCGGAAAGCGCAAATAAATTCGGTTTCACTACAAATCCTAACGGCAGTTCTACTAGCTAATTCGTAAATAGGGCAGACAGAGTTTTAACATGTTCATTTTCAAAATGAATGAAATGAAGGATAAAATGAAGTTTAAATCGTAATGAATACCTCGAGGTGCACGGAAAAGTTAATTGAAAAAATAATTTAGAGCGGTTTTAGCGTTTATTAGGATCCAAATGAAGCTTATACATAATACAGCGTTTACAATTTTTTGTTCCGTTTTATTAGTCTATGTATGAGTAAATATTAATTTCAATGTACAAAATAATAGGTATAAAATTCATAATATCTTCTTTGGAAATGGTTTTTAGACCACGCTTCAACATAGTATTTAAAAAAATAGTAAAATCAAACACGCGAAGGAATTTATAAGGCGAGAAAACAAAAAGAATTTTATACAGGCAAAGCAACTTAAAAACTTATAAGACACAATTTATAGCAAATATGAGCGGAAACTGTGAGAATTTATCAAACAAGGTCACCAATGTATATAATAATATCAAAGTTACAAAGACTGGAGCAACGTAACTGAGAGCGAAAATCGTAAAATTTCTTCCTGACACGGTATTTCGCAATGCACTGCGTGAAGGCGCACTTCTAGAAGTGGATGGAGAGGTATATATGAAAAACAATAAAATCCTTCTATAACAATGTTAGCCAGTTCTTATTATATAAGGATATCACACATGCACTCCTTTGCTTACGACTACAGAATGAACATAGCGCGTCAGAATGTCGTCGCGTAATTTCTACATCACATTGGCCAAACACTGGGAAATAACTTTTCATTCTATAAGATGGTCTTTACCCGTTCTGCCATTTACCGTCAAAGCCGCTCGAGTCGCCCCTCTGCACATATCTCGCCGCTATACTGCACATACAGTATCATCGGCAGTTCTGCGCTTCCACGACATAACTGTGTCTGAAAGATATTCTATGGTTTTCAATTCCAGTGTCGAAGTTTCTGATTGAATGATTTAGAAATCATTGGATACCTTTAAAAAGAACTTTTGTCTGAATTACTCGTGCAGTTCATATCCGTTTTAAATTATCAACAGATAATTAATACCGTTAGGCCTACCTCTCATGCTCAATCAAGTTTTATTCTTTACTATGGCAGTTAAGCCGTCCATTTTATTTTACTTGCATTATTAAATTTCGAACAGATGAATGAGCTGAACTCAAATAATTCCCCAGTAATACGTGATAATTTTTGAAGTTTCTTTGACGTAAAACTATCGGCTAGCTTGCTATTTATGGCCACTAATAATAACTAATATGAGTACCTCATGCAAATGAATCTTTTTAATATATGTTGGATTAAGGTTAATGACCATTTATAGGTTTATACTCCATTTCAGTGGAAAGTCAGCCCAAATTGGAGTGATTGAACGGAATAGACTTAGCGAGATTCATGCAGTCCTTTTTTTCCAAATGAAAAGCTTTCCCTAACTATCGTTTGCGTTAATAATAGATGAAAATTAACAAAGCTGGCAACTAAAAATGGTTAGTTGAAAAGAGTGAGTAGGGTGACTGGCTGGACTGAGCCAGGGCTGCCAGAGAGTGCTATGAGAAATCGAAAAAATCAACTGCCAAAAAAAGGGCAAAAACAGCCAAACTTATACATTTATTAACATTTTTGCGACTTTCAGTGCAACAGTTCAATGAAAACAAATTTCCGATACTTAATAGGTAAACAAAAAATGAAATAAATTTAAGGCTTAAGTAGATTTGTGCCGACCAAGGCGCGTGCAAAAGTCACGCATCGCCAAATTTTGCCCTCGGTTCAGGGACGATTGGTGTTAAAAATTGGTAGTGCGTGGAGTATGGTGCGTGGAGTATGGTGCGTGGAGTATGGTGCGTGGAGTATGGTGCGTGGAGTATGGTACGTGGAGTATGGTGCGTGGAGTATGTTGCGTGGAGTATGGTGCGTGGAGTATGTTGCGTGGAGTATGGTGCGTGGAGTATGGCGCGTGGAGTATGGTGCGTGGAGTATGGTGCGCGGAGTATGGTGCGTGGAGTATGGTGCGTGAAGTATGGCGCGTGGAGTATGGGGCGTGGAGTATGGTGCGCGGAGTATGGTGCGTGGAGTATGGTGCGTGATAACAGTTCAATGTCAGGTTGGCAGATGACGAAAGGGTATAAATCATTGCTGTAAACACATACTGTATCTCGTGCTGTTTAGAAGCAGTTACAAACTTACCTCGACTTAACATCAACAAATCAAAACCCAATATTAACACCAGATTTTTTCCGTTCATTTATATTATATTATATTTATATAATATATATCATATTATATCTAATCTACTTCTGTCATTTTGCAGCTAAAGAGTAATTTGAAATATTTGAAACCATAAAGAACCTTGGCTGATCAACATGTTTACCAGAGAAAAGACACCTGCTTCACGCCAGCTGACAATCTGCATGCTTTTCGTCCCCGACATCCTGAGACTGCGTCAACAGATAAGAAGGTTAGCGGCCACTCACAAGCTCGCCTGTTAAACGGACGGTCAGCGGGCACACGATGGCAGGGCGACTCCAGGTTACATTGCTCCAACTCGTCTGGGGGACAGTTTTACTGCAGCTTGCTTGTGAGTTATAAATACTCTAAAGTAATACAATCTGAATAAAGATATAAGATCTATTGTGAACACAGAAAAATTATCTGTATAATAGTGGTAGTTGTGAAATGAGTACGTACTACTATGACATAGGAGAATGGTATGTAATAATAGACATTCTTAATTCGCTATATATGTTCGTACATTATAGTCAATGTTTTCATTAGTCTCCTTTAATCAAGTAACTGTAAAGATATTGAAAATTTACCATCTAAATTATTTTTCTGTGCGTTGTATCTATACCTCAGATGCGCAGTGTAACAGGGCTACGTTCGGGTCAGACAGCTTCGTGTGCGTGTGCAGCGGCAGCAGCTGCGACTACATGAGCGATGCACAGCGGCCCAATGACCCATCCTACTTCACCATCGTCTCCACCGACAGGGACAACGCCAGACTTGGCGTTGACTCAGGACTCTTGTCCCCCACCCAAAACACGAGTAGGTGACTCATTCAAGTTTAGAAAAGCTGTACTATTTCGTCAAATTATTTCTGGATTCTTCAGTGACAAGATTTAAAAGCTGAAGCCAAATGAAGATTGATGCGCAAGATAATAAGGCGCACTAGGGGCGCAGGTTTTTGAGCGATTCTGATAACACCTACCTCGGCTATTTGTGAAGCTCCTTTTATACCTGAGTGTTGATAGATACATTGCCTACGTACAAATGCATATTTAATTTCAAAACTGCTTCATATACATGGCAACCCGCCGCAGATGGGGTGATCATCAACGTTGACCTCAGCGTTCGCTACCAGACGATGATAGGGTTCGGAGGTGCCTTCACGGACTCGACGGGCATCAACGTAGCGAAGCTCAGCGCCGAGACGCAGGAATCGCTGCTGCGTTCCTACTTCGCTCCTGAAGGCATCCGTTACAGCCTCTGTCGCGTGCCCATCGCGGGGTCGGACTTCTCCACCAGGCCTTACTCCTACGATGACGTCCCTGGCGACGTCAACCTCGACAATTTCGCCCTCGCCGAAGAAGATTACTTGTACAAGGTGCGTCAATTCTTCACCATTTCATATGTGACATCAATAACGAGCGTAATGGAGCATTTCATAACATAGTAACATAACATAGTGATGTCGGCGCTGAAGAGTAGGCCAGATGTGGCCTGTCGCCGATTCTTGTACTTTTCGTGACTCGTTCACAGGAGATCTAAAACAGGTCCTTTGTCCGGATCTTTCCGGAGCTGACGATAGTTTGAAATAGCTACTAGACTTCCACCGGGTTCGATATGGAGCTAGGCATTTCAAACCTGAACATATATTTTTCCATAGCTAGCTTTATCTAGTCGGTTCTTGAACGCATTTATACTCGGAGCGTCAACGATGTAAGCAGGGAGGTTGTTCCACATGTCGATGACTCAAAGCGAGAAGAAATGGTTGGGTTGCATGGTTGGTTTACGATGCAGTTTTTTAGTTTATAACCATGGCCCTTTATTGTTGGTTCTTGTTTTAAATTCTAGTAATCCTTCTGGGACCTTGTATATACCATGAGTATACTTGTATACTTCAATGAGGTCACCACGCAGACGTCGATAACAGAGGCTTGGAAGCTTCATAACCTTTAATCTTTCTTCATAGGACTTGCTCTTCAAGCCTGGAATTATCTTTGTTACACTTATTTGGTTTATATATACTTAAAATCATGTCACTTTACTTTAGATATTTATTTTATACGTGGACCAAATGTTGAAGCTGTTGAAATTTCTTCCAGCTGCCGTTCATGAAGAGGGCTTTGGAGTTGGTGAGCGGAACGTCCGACCTGAAATTCTTCGGCTCGCCGTGGGCGCCGCCGGCGTGGATGAAAACAAATGGCATGGCGAACGGCTCAGGCAGTCTGCTGCCAGAGATGTGGGGCCCTTATTCCAACTACTTTGTCAAGTGAGTGATAGGCTGCTGAATAACTTTAGAGAAACCTCGCTCATTTGTTGCAATTCGCAGAAGACAAGTTTTTTTTTATTTCAAAATATACGATACATCTGTTATAAAAAACTAAATGAAAAATCATTGATTTGCTTCATAAGTTATTGAAATTAGGTGCATCTACAATTCTTTCTATCCCAGATTTATATCAGCATACCAAAACGAAGGCGTTCCAATCTGGGGAGTCACCACTCAGAATGAGCCAATGACCGGATTTTACGTGAGTAAATAATGAGGCAAAAATAAGTCTGCTTAAACAACCTTCACGGGAGGTAAAATTTAATTCTTATACATGATTATCTATCTTAACATATTTACCAGGATTGGCCGTGGAACACGTGCGCCTGGACAGCGGAAGATCAGCGCGACTGGATCAAGACAAACCTCGGTCCAGCATTCGTAAACGCCGGGTACGATGACGTCAAAATAATGGTACTCGACCACAACCGGGAGTTCCTGCCTGACTATCCTGCGGCCGTGAGTAAAATGAATAAACTTTGGTCACGTTCCTACTCACCCTGTAATGTCATAAGCTTAATTGCTTCACATTGTTACAATCTTGTCTGGCTCACCGTGCATGCCAATAAAATCTCATGTTGGAAAGAACACACATTTATAAATTATGTTCATCTTGTTAAACCCATCATTTTGACATTTATACTGTTCATATGGAATAAACATATCCATCAAATTCTAATTTTACTTTCAATATTAAAACCTTAACTTTTATTTAACATTTTTCATAATGGACAGATACTGACGGACCCAGAGACATACAAGTACGTTGACGGCATCGCAGTTCACTGGTACTCCGACAACAACGACTACCCCGACAGACTGACCAGCACCCACGACCTCTTCCCCGACAAGTTCCTGCTATACACCGAGTCATGCAATGGATTAGCTAAAGATGGGAACGGTAACAACCAGTTCGGCAGCTGGCAGCACGCACAAGACTATGTGGTCAACATTCTTGACGTGAGTAAAATATATACGAATGGACAATAATTCTATGGCAATCTTTGACATATAATTAATACAATCGTAATTTTTTAACATATGGCACGGAGAGACAATAGGTTTATTCCATTATTCGAGTCTATTCACGATGAAGGAGATGTATTAGTATAGTATCTTCGGCATTAAAGAATAGGCCTGGATAGGCCTGCCTGTATTATTCATCATGAGTGTTCAGGACGTGACTCACTACTCGACCGGGTGGGTGGACTGGAATATGGTACTGGACATGCAGGGAGGACCAAGCTGGGTCAGCAACTTTGTTGATTCTCCCATCATCGTTAATGCGGTGAGTTTATGATAATTGTTTGGCAACGAAATTGTATAAATATTTAAAGTTTCCAAAAACTGAAATCAGCCAAATCTTAAAACGAAAATAATATCGTTGCTAAAGTTGCGTCAGATGTTAAAACAAGTTTGAAGTGAAGTCGACGTTAGAATACTCCGCCTCTATAATGAAATTAAGTCCGGTATTGGTACTCATTCATAATGCCAGTAGCTTAACCGAAATGCATAATTCAAGATTTGAGAATCCGGTTATTTGAAATTCGTTTAACCCGAATCCCATTATTCTGCATCAATTGCAAACTTTCAAACATAAATAATGTTAACAAGAATAAACCCTTTCATATTTATCATTTACATATAATTCTAATTTAGATCCCCTTTCAATGTAGGAAAATGTTGAGTCTTCTACACATGAACAAATATTACATTTCTAAATCAAAAAATGTTAATAAAAGTTGTAACTCACATTTCCATGTCCAATTTGCATTGCCTCGTGATTCCACTTCTTATATTTCGTTTCAATTGTAGGTAATACCTCGATTGACATAAGTAGCTTTTATACGCACTCAATAACCAATGAATATTTTACTTTGCCGGCCTTCAAACACGCAAACAAATGAACTTTCGGAAGAAATAATACATATATTGGTCGCACACCAACGGATATGATTATTTAGATATATTTTTCGCTCGTGGTATGAGTAAATGACTGTTTTTACGAAAATGTAAGCCCGATTTTACTTGCGAATATCTGTTAAGTATTCTTCAACAACTTGATTTTTCCAGGCGGAAGACACTTTCTACAAACAGCCCATGTTCTACGCCATGGGACACTTCAGTAGATTCGTGCTCCCTGGAGACGTGGCAGTTCGCAGGTGGATCTCCGATGAAAGCAAGATCAGAGTCGCGACGTTCCTGCAGTCGGATAACACAGTTGTTGTCGTGCTCATCAACATGTGAGTATAATGCGTTAGACTCTTCCCTTCACGAAATTTTTATTGCTATATCTTACAATACTAACGGTTTTTAGACGATGAAAACTTGATGCAGCGCCTCACTTGCTTCATATACGTCACAAAACGTGTATAATGTAGAAGTTGCTAAAATGTTCTCTTATCCATTCAGTAACGTCGCTTATTAACAACCTGTCTAGGCACCTCGTGTAAAATGGTTCTGCAAATTTTTAGGGGATTCAGCCCTCCTCAATCATCTAAGAGCTTTCAATTATTTTTAAAGTCTATAAAATTGCACGTCCCTTTGTTTCATTCACCAACTCAACAATTTTCCTGCATTGTCCACTATAGGGCCGAAGAAAATGTGTCGATTTCACTACAGCCCAACCCAGCTGTGGACATGTACGCCAACATGGAGATCCCTCCGAAGTCTCTGCACACTCTCCTCTTCGCCATCTAACTCCGCAACAAAATATGGTTTATCAAAACTAATATTGAGCCTTTCAGTGGACCCTGCATTGATAAAGTTGAATAATTAGGACACAATCTTATTATATTTGTCACGTTCAGAATGATTAATTTTCAATAAACACATACTTTCCGAGTTTACTTAAATTTTCCAAAAAAGATTTTATGAGAGTATTATCTACTTAAAAAATATTACACCAACATCCCTGCTGATGGTTTCGATAGTGCGAACTTACTGATAATTCTTTAAATAATATGAAGACCTCTAGTGGCATTACAATATTTTAGAGCTCAAAGCTGATCGCAAAGACAGATGAGAAATGAAAAAGACTTAGTTCAAATAGCGATACATATTTGCCCTTGCATGTGTTTGTAAGGGCAATCTTGACCAAATCTAGCGCGGTACCTAATGAACGTGTGAGTGATACGGGCAAAAATTGATATCACTATTTGGACAATACGACTCGTTAATTTTTCTGCCTGTGTATAGGTTTCCCATCAGCGATGACTGATATAATTTAGATAGGGTTTGCTAAGTGGCTAACTTTAACCCTCAAAATCCTTTAATAAATTTTAGCAGATAGACCGCAATCTTTATCTTCTGTGATAAAGCAGTAGTATATATTAGTTCTGATATGCTTCATCGGCAGACGATATCATTTAGTTGTGATAACCAATTAAAATATATGTATCCAATATGTACTGAGATGATGATATCCTGTGATTTTTGCGCCAAATTGTATGTATTTATGTGACCATTGAACGAAAAGCATCAAGCCAATATTCCCTCAGTGAAATTTACCAATTTATTCATAGACTTTTGCCAGACAATTTATTTGAAACAAAAACTTCCAGAAAGTTTAATGAAAACATCCAGAATCCCTAATTCACGCGACATGAGACTAAATATTAGGTACAAGATCTTTATCAGAACTACCTACCAGTTGAAAATAAAGCGCTTAAATTCGAAACCCTCAGGCGACAATACGGTCATCGTAACGAGCGGTATATTGTTTATTTGATTGGTGCGCATCATTACTTTATTTGCCTTGACATAATAATGACAAAATTTGGTAGTGTGCGTTTGTTTGCGTCATTTCCTGGCTTGGATTAGACGTAAAGTGTTTCGCCTCTTTCTGCTTCAAATCAAACCAACTCGCTGAAACCTTTTGACTTTGTACCCTGAAGAGGGTAAATGCCCGGATTCGAACTGTTATCAGCATGTCTTCTTCACAGGGAACCTCACTGAAACGGTATCGAATTTTATACGAAGTGAAATTTTAGTGTCTATATTTTAGGATCGAAGGCAATCAATTACGTCAGCCGGAACCTCGAATCAGGCTGCTCATATCGAGTAAAACATCGAGAAAGACGATCAAGTTGTTCGAGAGTCCAACTGCACTACATGCGGTGTGTCGACAATTTTATAAATACGTCGTGCCGTCATCGGTACGTGAGCAAAAATTTACTCCGGTTAAAATTAGGTTCATTTCAAATCAAATGAAGTCAGTTGCAAAAAAATTGATCACTAAGTTGAGTTGATTGAGTAATGTTGTTGTTATATGTGCGTTCACAAATACTCTTTCCCGACCCAACTAGAAGTTAAATTCACTGTAGATATAGCTGAACAATTTTCCATTTCAAGAGATCAAATTTATTTATTGCTATTGAAATATTCCACTAAATAATATTTTGGTGAAATTATTAACTTTCTAACGTTACGCAACCCTCATATGACAAGGCAGCAACGGTGCATAATTGTATATATCTCGCCCAGGAATATTTGTATAGCATATCGTATGCAATTTTATTAAAGAGTCAAAGTGTTTCCTCGCATTTTATTTTGCGCTCCCTGGAAACTGCACTCATGTTGGCTCGAAACAATATCGTTCATATTACGATAAATCATTGCACCTTGGCCCATGGCAGCCTACAATCTACATAGAATGATATTTAAGCATTCAATACGTGGGACCTAGCATATGCTTGAGGTCTGATAAGCGCCTTTTGCGAGGCTCCGAAGCCTTGCAATATAATTTACCATGCACACATTACAAGACGGCCAACCGAAGAAGATTCAACATGGCGAGCCGACGTTTCTTCGCTGTCAAACTCGTAGTGTTTTATCTTGCAGTGCTGGCATTTTATACCAGTGAGTATAGTGACGAGCTACAGTGGTAGATACAGTTAAAATAATTCTTGCTCAATCGAAAATTAAAATAAATAGATTATTCATTTTTATAATAACTGCCGCATCACTGGCGATAATGTGAATTTGTAACTTAATATTTAAATTCACGCACATACGTCGTTCTACATGATATTTGAGAGTGAAGATCTCACATCATTAATAAAATTGCCTCTTTAATTTAATTTCATATCAATTCATAATTAACATAACATAGTGATGTCGGCGCTGAAGTGTAGGCCTGATGTGGCCTGTCGCCGATTCTTTTCCTTTTCGTGCCTTTTTCATAGATCTAAACTCGTGTCATTTGACCGGATCTTTTCATGACTGACGATAGTTTGAAGTAGCTACTAGACTTCCACCGGGTTCGATAAGGAGCTAGGCATTTCAAATCTGAACATATATTTTTCCATAGCTTTATCTAGATTCTAGTCTGTTCTTGAACGCATTCATATTTGGAGTAAATTAATTACATACTAAATTAAATAATATTTATTATAATTTCTAAGGCACACAAAGAATAATTTTCGAGAAACACCATATAGGTATGACTTAGAAAATACGTTCCGAGAAACTGTATACATTTAACGTATCATCAGAAAATTAAAAATTTTGTTGTCAGAGTATAGACATTTCTGACATTTATTTATAATAAGACATTTCTTAAAAGAACAGCCCTGGCTATTAGATCTTCTCTAAAGTAATAACAGAATATCGACGATGTGCCAGGTGCTCAAGAGTGCAACCAGCAATCCTTCGGATCTGACAGCTTCGTGTGCGTGTGCAGCGGCAGCAGCTGCGACTACATAGGCGATGTGCCGCCTCCGGCCGACACGTCCTCCTTCACCATCGTCTCGTCCAGCAAGGACAGCGACAGATTCGCTGTCGGTTTAGGGACCATGGACTCCCTACAGAACAGTGGTGAGTGCGTGCCTGTTGCAGACTGAACACATGTACATTCAACTGAATAAACTAGGACAGTCAAGCTGAACTGCTTGTAGAACCACAGGCGCTGGAAAGATTTAGTAGTTAACTCGGACGTTCCGAAAAGAAACCGATGTGAATCAGGCCCCGTTGTTTTCCCTTATGGTTGGTCAACTGTGGAATATAATTTATCCAATCAGCACAGACGATTGTCTTATCACAGATGCTTTACCAGTAGTTCCTCATCAGGTGTGACCATCACTGTCGACCCAAGCGTTCGCTACCAGACGATGATGGGGTTCGGAGGCGCCTTCACGGACTCGACGGGCTTCAACGTAGCGAAGCTCAGCGCCGAGACGCAGGAATCGTTGTTGCGCTCCTACTTCGCTCCTGAAGGCATCCGTTACAGCCTCTGTCGCGTGCCCATCGCGGGGTCGGACTTCTCCACCAGGCCTTACTCCTACGATGACGTCCCTGGCGACGTCAACCTCGACAACTTCGCCCTCGCCGAAGAAGATTACTTGTACAAGGTGCGTCAATTCTTCACCGTATCATACGTGAAATTGAATAAAAATTACAGTGTGACATTTCATGTGATTTTAAAATATTTAAAGTCATGTCACTTTATTTTGTACATTTTTTATTCGTGGACCAAATGTTGAAGATGTTGAAATTACTTCCAGCTGCCGTTCATGAAGAGGGCCTTGGAGTTGGTGAGCGGAACGTCCGACCTGAAATTCTTCGGCTCGCCGTGGGCGCCGCCGGCGTGGATGAAAACAAATGGCATGGCGAACGGCTCAGGCAGTCTGCTGACAGAGATGTGGGGCCCTTATTCCAACTACTTGGTCAAGTGAGTCCCAGATATCAAGTTAAAGGATCAAAATTCTAATCACAATTCTCAATTCAAAGTCAAAAGTTCCGTTCACTTTAAAAAATTTTACTTCGTTTGAATATAAATTATTTTATTTCGTATGTTGCAGCACGCATGGCATTTAGAACTAGAAGTTATTTGATTGTGTGGCTTCTGTTGGAGAGTGGTTATTTCGGAACGCACGTTTATTTAAATACTAAAGAAAGAGGATACTTAAAACGCGTTCTTATGCATGGATATTGAAATTTCAAATTGGACACTAGGTATATATAGACCCTACAATCCTCGCTAAAACGAATATTTTCGTAGCATTAATTGCCTGTATGATTGTCTCGATCCTAAAATACAGACACTAGAACACCAGCGATTCGATTACTAATGAAACATTCGGTGTCAGGTTCATCTCTGCATATGAGGAAGAGGGAGTCCCGATATGGGGCATTACCACACAAAATGAACCAATGACGGGATTTTCAGTAAGTGTTCCTGAACTTTCATATGTACAGCCTGTTCCACCTGGTATAATTTACATTTTTTTAATAAATTTGATCTTATAAACTAGAATATCTGTTTCTAAAGTAAAAATAACTTGGTAATTACCGAAATTCAATACATATAATCATTGCATTCAATGGCTTGAAAAAATTGTGCTGGACTGCAACATTGGACATTTGCTTCTACAATTGGATCATGTTCATTTACAGAGGTTCCATGTAACTCTACATGCATTACGGAGACAGAAAATGATAATTGTTCCGTTACAATTAACTATTGAAGCAGTTTAATAATTTTACTCAATGGACGAATTTATTATTGCATTATTCAGGATTGGCCGTGGAACACGTGCGCCTGGACAGCGGAAGATCAGCGCGACTGGATCAAGACAAACCTCGGTCCAGCATTCGTAGACGCCGGGTACGACGACGTCAAAATAATGGTGCTGGACCACAACCGGGAGTTCCTGCCTGACTATCCTGCGGCCGTAAGTTGCGATCATTTTAATTTATCTAAATGCAATGAAATGCGATTTTTATGAAAAGTACGAGAGGGATGTAATGAATCATTCTTTTTGCGGTGTCATTTAATACTTTTTCGATAGTGACGGACTAGGTTTATCCATTTGCAAATAGTTAAATAAATCATAGTTTTATAATTCTAGCACATTGAGCCATTAGTAATCGAATTATTCATGATTATTTGGCTGAACTTATGATTTAAAATGCTGCTCACTTCTGCAACTTGACAACTATGCATATTTCTTTGTCTTCGATCAGATACTGGAAGACCCAGAGACATACAAGTACGTTGACGGCATCGCAGTTCACTGGTACTCCGACAACAACGACTACCCCGACAGACTGACCAGCACCCACGACCTCTTCCCCGACAAGTTCTTGCTATACACCGAGTCTTGTGAAGGATGGAATGCTGCTCCCGGTAACAGAGTGGAGCTTGGCAGCTGGCAGAGAGCACAAAATTACGTTGTGAACATCATTGACGTGAGTGGTTATGTGTGCGCATATTAATTTTATACATGGGAAAAAACATATGGAAAATGCTACCCTGATTTCCATTTACTCCGTTTTTAATTCATCACAGCTCTAGAATTCGAATGACACTCAAGAATAACTTGGACAGCGCAACTGAAGAAATATATTCGCCAATCATGAAACAGTTTATCTGGGTCCGGACATTTTACATGAAATCTAAAGAATTTAATTCATTCTGATGTTGAAAGCTGATGTGGCACTCTACCACAGGACGTAACTCACTATTCGACGGGATGGGTTGACTGGAACATGGCTCTAGACCAGGAGGGCGGGCCGAACTGGGTCAGCAACTTTGTGGACTCCCCTGTCATCGTCAACGCTGTGAGCTGATGCATGACATCAGTAATATGACATTTTACTTCCAGATTTCTTTTTTTTATAAGTAGTAAGAAGTGCATTATTAACTTTTTTAAACTTACGGAGATGTCGGAAATGAACCTCGGTCATCTCTTAAATTCTAAATATATAATTAATTCCGAGAAAGATCATGGCAGTTCTAAAACATAATAGGAGGATCAGTTGTTTTTAAAGGTATTTTTGTCTGAACTTGTTAAATATCATTTCCGTCTGGATCACAATTAATAACACACTATCAACGAATAAATTCGTTTTCAAGTAAACATCAGTATGTTTTTAACGTTCTATCGAGGCTCAACTAAAATGGTGCTTAGGATTTACCAACTCATTATTGAGCTAATAGCATATTAGTGAGTTTTCTCCAGGATTAAGAAATGAATAAATAATTCTGCATGAGCAGGCGGAAGACACTTTCTACAAACAGCCCATGTTCTACGCCATGGGACATTTCAGTAGATTTGTTCTCCCTGGAGACGTGGCCGTCGATAGATCCATCTCGGACGAAAGTCAAATCAGAGCGGCGACATTCGTGAAGCCTGACGGTACTGTCGTGGCTGTCATCCTGAACATGTAAGCTGTATTTTTAGCTCGGGATGGTCGAGTGGTTAAAATCACCAGCATCGGAGCTGAAAAGGAGGGTTTAAATATGTCAGGTTACCTACGCGTGAAACTAACATCTTTACTTGGCAGCTGTTTACTCGGCATATATGAATAATGTATTTTGTTAATAATGACTCTCTCTTTTTAATCAGAATAAAAGTGGTAATTTTTTACTGTCGTCCATAACCAAACGGTGATCACGCATGTTTAATGGACACGCCGTGCTAATTTCGCCTCACCCTTTTTTCGCATATTTATCTTTCTCATTAAGTTATCGAAATAATAACTCGTTGGTCCTCCAGGGCTGAGGAAGTGGTGCCGGTCTCCATCCAGCCCAGCGTAGGCGCGGACTTTTACGCCAACCTGATGGTGCCCGGCAAGTCCCTGCACACGCTGCTCTTCGCCGTCTGAGTCTGCACGAATATTGTGCTTGCAGTTTATTTTGGCCAAAAAGACAGGCAGGAAATACATGAAAATTACCTTAATGTATAAAATACATATTGAATTACAGAACATTAAAATATTTCAAAATTCTGTCTTCAATTCCTTTCAGTGTCATGTGTACAGTATCGGTCTTATTCATAAGGAACAAAAACAATTTTACAATAATTATTTATATGTTTAAAAATTATTAAAACTATTTCACCGAAGAATACACACCGAAGACGAGAAGGTTACAATGCGCAAGTCACACACCAAGTCAAAATATCTAACGTAATAGTTTTCCAATATTCAAGAAACAAATTATACTTCCAAGTTCAAATCGAGAATTGCTGCAGTACAGAGTAGCAAGATTGGAGCAGAGACGTGCGGGTTCGATCCCGTCTCTGTGCGCCAGTTTCTGGTCAGAATCGGCAAAGAGGTCGGGTGGTTAAGCAGAGAAAATTTGAAGCAGTGAGTTACGAGTTCGAGCCCGCAACAAGCTGTTGCATGGATGTTCTGCGATGTTAAGAATCGGCGACTGGCCTACGGCCTAATAAACCTGAAACCTCTATTTTATATTATTATAACATAACATAGTGATGTCGGCGCTGAAGCGTAGGCCTGATGTGGCCTGTCGCTGATTCTTTTCCTTTTCGTGCCTTGTTCACAGAAGATCTAAAATCGTGTCATTTGACCGGATCTTTTCATGACTGTCGATAGTTTGAAGTAGCTATTTGACTTCCACCGGGTTCGATAAGGAGCTAGGCATTTCAAATCTGAACATATATTTTTCCATAGCTTTATCTAGTCTGTTCTTGAACGCGTTCATACTTGGAGCGCCAACGATGTCATCGGGGAAGCTGTTCCACATGTTGGTGATTCGAAGCGAGAAAAAATTTTGTCGCGTGGAGAAGTTGCAGCGCAGTCTTTTAGCTTAGCCGTGGCCCCTGGTGTTGGTTCTTGTTTCAAATTCTAGTAATCCTTTGGGGACCTTGTATAGACCATGAGTATACTTGTATACTTCAATGAGGTCCCCACGCAGACGTCGATAACTGAGGCTTGGAAGCTTCATAATCTTCAATCTTTCTTCATAGGACTTGCCCTTCACGCCTGGAATTATCCTTGTAGCACGTCTTTGAACATTCTCTATTAAATTTTTGTCCTTTTCAAATTTCGGTGACCACACAACATTTCCAAACTCTAGATTCGGGCGCACGACAGCAACAAACAGCTGCTTCATCGTTTCTGCACCTAGGAACTCGTATGAGCGTCTGATTAGTCCAAGAAGTTTGTTGGATGTGTTAGCTTGCGTTTCAACATGCTTAAAAAATTTTAGCTCCTTGTCGACACAAACTCCGAGATCTTTTTCCACACTAGACTTTTCAAGCATTACTCTCTCGTTGCAACCATGTCTTCTCATACTGTAATCTTGCTGTTCATTGTTCTTCCCGAGGTGAAGTACTTTACACTTGTCAGCATTAAACCGTAGCTGCCACTTATCAGCCCAGTTAACTAAACTGTCAAGATCATCTTGTAATTGCGCTTTATTTGACGCATCCTTCACTGAATTATTAACTTTTGTGTCGTCGGCATACATGGAGCACACGCTGGACACTACTTCTGGCAGATCATTTATAAAAGCAACGAACAAAATAGGCCCCAGAACGCTTCCTTGCGGCACACCACTGCGCACTGATGCCCAGTCTGACACGGTTCCGTTAATACTGACGCGTTGTCGTCTACCTACTAGAAAATCTCTGATCCATTGGAGTACGTTTCCCTCAATTCCCAAGGACTTCACTTTACGCAACAGCCGCTCATGCGAAACACTGTCAAATGCTTTGGCAAAATCGAGGTACAATGCATCCACTGTCTCCCTTTCGTCCAGCAGGCGAGTCCAATCGTTCAACGCAGGCGAATCCAATCGTATTATATTACTATAGGAAAAACACGTAACGAAACTGCACCGCATTTACGCATCATTGTGATGATGCGCTACATTCACATATCATTGGAATAATGCACTGCAATCACATATCATTATTGCCATAAGTTTTATGCAATGTGGTGATATCAGGGCTTGCAACGCTCTCACATGAACAGTAATAACCAAGACAATCATAAAAACAATAATATTTCATGAACCTAAATGTATCTTCCAACGTACAATACGCTGGCGGGACACAAAAAAATATATCACAGACTAATAGTCATGAATAAATTATTTATTTCGTAACTGCTTCTTCGGTATATCTGACATAATTGTGACGAGTCATAATATAAAGTTAATAAAAATTAGTCTCTCTCTAGAAAATTAGGCGATAACGTAGGATTGAATTTCAGTAGGGTTCCTGCAGCAGCCTTTGTAAAGAAAAACACTTTTTGAGAGTTGTTTGAAAATCAGTCAACGCAGTTGGTTTGTAATGTATTTTTTTAATTGTGCAAGTTAAATAACAGCCGATTTGATTAACACTGATCAATGAAGACTTTTCTACACTACAAGCCTAATAATTCCCAAATTCATGTTTCATGAAAGCCTCGGTCGATCTGATACTGAAAAAAGTATAGTATAGCATCTTCGGCACTGAAGAATAGGCATGCATGTCGCCGATTCTTGTAATTTTCTTGACTAGACTGGCCTCTTGATCAAATCTTTTCAACGGACGGCAGATTTAAAATCGCTTCTAGATTTCAGTTGTTCCGTAGGATACGAGGCATTGAAGACTAAACATATGCTCCTGCATGGCCTTGTCTATTCTGTCCATGAAAACTGTAAATTTTTCAAGTATACTTTTTCTCTGTTGTAATATATGAATTTAAGTTGATAAGTCGTATTTGAAAACCAAAATTTGATCAAATTTTACTCATTCTACTCATCCTTTGTGATACCGCGTGGCGTCACTCATGGTTGAACTAATTCAGTGGTTCCCAAAGTGGGCGATATCGCCCCCCTAGGGGCGGTGAAAAGATTTTGGGGGGCGGTAAGGAAGAAGAGGGCGATAGGGGGGCGGTAGTCCGAAGTCGAAGTCAGAAGTTCAATCGTTTGTTTGACGATTTGTACACAACACGTGCAGCACCACAGCGATGGTTTTTTGCACCCAGATCAGGGCCTATACTTTCAAAAAAGTTAAGAGATCGTAAGTTCAACAGCCAATCATTGACGGCCTATCAAGCAGAATTCACCAATTATAGACAAGAAAATAGAGCGTAAGTACCTACGTTCACTTAGCGAATTTTGAAAGTATGGTCCCTGTTTTTTTAACCTCTCCTGGGTTTACGTCTCGGACAAATTATCGGCCGGATTGGTCTCACGGCCAATTTCCAAATTCAATGATCAAGGAATATCTCTCAAACTAATGAACTTAAGAGGCCGGTTCAAGGAGAGGCGAACTCCATGACCGTGCTTCTCAGCCAGCGAGTGTAAATCTGAGCGGCAGGAAGGGCATTCCGTCTGGCAGCGCATGCAGTGACGGCGGCCAGGAATTCGGTGAGGGGGGGGGGAGGGAGGAGTGGGAAAGGAATTCCTTAAGGAATGAAGTTATTGATTGCTGAAAATTTAATTACGTTCATATTTCAAAACGTAATTACGATTATCTCTCCATAATCTTTATTTTCACAATTACATTCATAACAATTAAAATCAGTAAGTCATTATGACAANCTCCAGTGAATTTGGCAACTCGGCTGTTATAATGTTCTACGCGGTTACTATCCAAATCATGCACTAGACTCTCTGCATGATCCTTCACTCTATTTAGTATTTTCATTATAGCCTGAAAAACTCCAGTTTTTTCAAGATCAGGACAGTGATTATAATCACTTTTATTTTTACAAAAATAATTGCCGGTTATTGAACACATCGTATGATCACCGAAAACATGTCGGGCGCTGTTCAAAATGTCTTTACGCAACCCGTCGATTCTTTCCGCTTCAGTTGTATCAGTCAAATTTTTGCGATGTTTGATTGCACCCTTTATGGCATTTACCAAGCGTTTCGCACGTCCCTGGATCAATTGTCTTTGATCTGCGGAACCGAGCTTGGCGGTTCCTTTAGATTGATAGACATCTTCTTTCAAATGTTTCTGATAATTCCTTAGGATGTGATTTCGACATTCAATTTTTTTTACCTCATCAGGTGCATAGGGCATGACTGTTAACAGTTTTGTATACACGCTACTGTCACCGTCACCAACAAAGTACGAGTACTTCAAGCCGTGTGTTGCAATACTCGTTGAGAAGCCTTCAACAAGGATGTCCGCTTCCATGGCTGCGGGACTATCATCCCAATTTAAAGAGCTGAGGTGATCTTTCGGAGCTTTCTTGTTGCGTTTTGCGTAACAGCATACCGAGCAAAATCGATTTCGATACTGCATTCAAATGAAAAGCTTGAAAAAAGTCCTTGTCGTATTTCTTTTACAAAAATAAAATTGTAGAATGAACACATGTTAGTATTATGCAGTGCCATTCTACACAAATCACTAAATAGTTTTTTAACGTCAAACATCCTCCTTCCACATAATTGTTGCAGCGCTTGATCAAAGCGTCCGAGAATGTCACTATTCGTGTCAAGTACATCGGTCGTTGACGCAGGCGTTGCATCACGTGAAGCAAGTGGATGCGCTCTTGGCTGGATTTCTAAGTTACTTGTCTCGTCTCCATAGTTCGTCGAATCGACTGAGTGAGTAATTTGTTCGGCTATATTGTTGCATGAGGCAGTAGAATGTGAACTCTCCAGGAGCCTCTGTTGTTTTCTGCGCAGAAAAGAAAGAAAAAAAGGCTCAAGTCACAAAACTAACACAAGTGACATCATGCAGTGCCACTAATTATACCATAGAGCATTGAATGAAGTTATGCTACTGACTGAAGAGACATAAGTAACGCTAATGGCGTCAGTGAAACATGCGATTCAAATTTCAGAACAAGTGAAAACTAATAGTAATGATTCTTACCTCCATTGATTCAACTGCCGTCCTCTATTCATTCGTCTTGCTGAAAGACACAGTTTAGGACTTTTCAATTGCTTGCGTGAGAAACG